TCACTTTGAAAGTCTGGCGCCGGAGAGATGTGTCCAAACTGGGCCGACGGGCGGGCGTCGTCTTCGAAGGCGTCAACTTCTTCTTGAGTTTGGGCGGCAATCGTTGCGGTACTGAGAAGTTGTGATCGGTTCCAGAGATTGTGTCCACATTCACAGAGTTTTCGCCGAACGGAATCCAATTCAAGCCGAATGTCTTCGACTTCTTTGGCGGCCGTTTGTCCGCATTCTCGGAGTCGTTGTCGGCGTTGTTGTGGTCGTCGTTGGGATCCATCGGAAACCAGTCGAGTCCACTGCAGGCCTCACTTTCGCCCGACGATCCACTGGTCGTCGCGTCGGCTCTCTTTCGCTTCACATCATTGGTGTTCACGTCTTCGGCGACGACACCAGCGGTGGATGTGTTGTCGTTGTCTTCAAACGCTATCCACGCGAACGCATTCTTCTTCTGCGGCTTTTCGTACGTTTTGTTCATATTTTCGGTCATTGTTTTGGCGGACAGTCTTTGCGGTCAAAGACTTGGCCGACAATTATAAGCGAAAAACGACTTAACGATTGGTTTAATGAATGAAAACAAAGACTTTTAAATTGAATTGATTTGAAACAAGTATTGAATAAAACAAATGACAGAAACGTATCGTTTAGTCAAACAGTGTCTCAAATGTGAGACGATTTTGAATTTTGTATTATTTTTTAACGCCTTTTAACGCTTTTAAATGCTTTGAGTATTCGTTTGTCTCATTGGTTGAACGCGTTTCAAACCTCGCTTCTCATTGGCTGTTACTATGCGTTGCGTTATTCAGCTGTAGAGGCAGTTGTATAACAGGCGATACACCCTATTGTCGATATAAATTGCATTATAAAACTTAATTAATTTAATTAACGATCAAAATGAAAATTAATTAATGTTTTGCTGAATTTTATTGCGACAATAATTCACACCATATATACAAATAGGTCCACAAAAAAACATATAAACTATTATAACAACCAAACCGTTAAATCATTGTTTCCATTACCAAAGTTATACTGTACTGTAGATACAGACTATACACAGAAAATCACATGTTTTTTGTTTGTGTTTGAAATGTTTGCCACAATTTAGTGGACAAAAGTTTTGTGATCACAAAACAGATCCAAAGAGTTGTGTTAAGTCGTGAACCAAATGCCGTCCTTTGAGTTGCGATACGCGCCGTATGTCTGGCGGCTATTGAATGGTGTCTTCGTTGTCCATAAACCCCATAATAAGACCGTTTTGGCCACTCGTCGGTCACTTCTCAAGAAACTATGCGATGGTATACCTCTTCCTCCTCTTCGGCCACTCATTATCATTTGATTTAATCATTATATTTGATATCATTTCCAATGCAATCCAGAACTCAATTCAATGGAGTGCCGACCGCCGCGAGAGTTGGTCCACATCTCTGGCCAACTGTCGAGCGGCGAGAGTCTGAAAGTGGAGACCAGACAGAGCTTTGCCGACGACCCGCTTGTTGTCGGCCAACGCTATCAACCGCAAGACTTTTCGCTCTCAATCGCCAATAATCCCGGTTTCTTCGCGTCCGGTGTTGTCGTCGTATTCATGGGCCGAATGGCCAAAAGTGCCGCCGATTTTCAAAATGGACAGCATTTGAGGGTTTATGAAATGAAAGGCCGCTTCGGTTTCGCGACCGACAACTGCCGATCCGACGGCAAAATCATCGAAAAGTCGCTGGCCGAATGGCCAAAAGTGCCGCCGATTTTCAAAATGGACAGCATTTGAGGGTTTATGAAATGAAAGGCCGCTTCGGTTTCGCGACCGACAACTGCCGATCGGACGGCAAAATCATCGAAAAGTCGCGCTTCAAACACGTGACCGAACGACACATCGGACGCGTGATCAGCAAAATACAGGCCAATCATCAGACGCTTATGTTTAAGACAATGGGAGTCGATCTCAAGAGTCAGGAGGCGTACGAATTGGCGGCCAAAGGTATGGTGAGACCCGCTGTGCGAAAAACAACGCCCATTATATACGGCATCCGTTTGACTGAGTTCTCGCCGCCCGACTTCACCGTCGAAGTCGAGTGTATCAACGAATTCGATGAGTTCCTGTACCAACTGATCCATGGCATTGCCCTTAAGCTGCGGACGAGTGCGATGTGCACTCGAATGCGTGTCAAAAGGTACGGCCCGTTCACTACCGAAGACTCTTTATTAATGAAACACTGGACGAGTGAACACATCATTGAAAATATAGAGCAATGCAAACACCGATTACAGCCACACGTCTTGCAACCCATTTCGGCCGTATTGAGCGATCCGACGGCGCTCTCAGATCACGACATCTTTTTGGATACGCTTAAGAGAAGCGGAGAAATCATTAAATAAACAAAACGACAACAAAAATTGCATTCAAATAATAGATTGTGTTTTATAATCAAAATATAGTGTCATATAAAACAATAGTCTTTAAGCACACCTGTAGTGGTGATGCCTCGCAAACGTTTCGGCCACCAGTAGTGGGAATATGAGCGACGCGTCGGCGTATATTTTGACGGGTTTCGCCTCTTTCTTAATCTTACCCCACGAGACGGCTTCGTCGGGTCGGGCGCCCGCATCGCTCCCATCGAACTCATTGGCTGTGTTTACAAACACTGAGAAGTCGGCGCCGTTTCGCTATAATTAGTCGTTTGATTAAATTTATTTTTAAATAATTAGTCATTAAAATCATAGGTTTTGTTATGTAATGAAAAAATTATTGTAAATAAAAGTATTTATTATACGGAACTGACCATTAAGTTAGCGTTACAAATATGGTGTTTGACTAAACCGCCGCCCAATATAATCATCCCTGACTTCCGGGCCTTCACTGCAATCGTATTGATCCGTCGGATATCTGAGTTAGATTTGAGTGTCAATTGAGGGCATGTATTAATGGATTGTTTTGTGTGCCAAACAACTCATACCCTGAACAATATCGATGACAAGACCCGGATTTCTATACGTATGAAAGTATATCATATCACCCAACGAGCCGTCGGTCAGCGCCGGACAGAAGACCGGTATCTGATTCCTGGCCGCCCAATACAGGATCGACTCTTCGTTGTTAATCTTCTCACCCAAACGGGTGATGATCTTCGACGGCGACCATATCTGTTGGCTGTCTTTCTGTTCGCTCAGCAATTGGTTGAGAACCGGTTGAACCCAATTCTCAAACTTACAGTAATTATCGTTCGGAACCAATAGATTGCCGATTCTGTTGACCCCTTCGTCTCTTAAAAGACTGCCACTTATGTTAAAGTCGGCGACATATGTCTCACCCAAACATTTGATTATGTCTTCCTCTACGCCGCCAGCGGTGGTCACAATGCAGTCAATCTGGAGATCAATTCATCATTGAATGATTAAAAAGATGACAAAATCGATAACAACAAAGACAATGGGCTCACCATTTTGTGTTGGACCAGAAACCTGATGGTATCCCTCACACCACTAGATATCATGTTTGATGTGTAGCCCAGAAATATAGTGCATCCGCTCTTTCGGCGAATAAACGGATCACTTTCCAAGAGGTCCTCTTCGTATGGCTCGTCGCGACTCTTCAGCTGTCATTGCAAACAAAGATTAATTAACGGCCGAAAACAATATGACACGCGTTTACCATAGTCTCGATCTGTTGTACAGCGAGTCCAAAGTTGGTCGCCTGGAAACCGGTGGTCAGATATGTCTGGAGTAGCGCCGAGTGATTGATCCCTTGGTTGAAGTCATAGCCCATCACTTGAGTGGGATATGAGTCCAGAATGGATGCCATCGACGCGTGTCTTCCGTTCTGATCCACTGACGAGTCATTGTCCGCACACTTCGCGTGACTCTTCACCAGAACTGCCTCTTTGGCCACCGATGGGATTGAGTCCATCACCAGATTCTTGTCCACTAAGACTACACTTCTATGCAATGATAATAAGGGTTGTGTTGAGTGACAAACACTTGAATCACATTTACATTGATTTCTAAATTAAATCAACAAAAATATAAACAAAACATTTCAACGCTTTATAAACCGTATGTTTTGCACACTTTTTACCATTAATTATGTCTTCATATTGTCGTATATTTAATTACTAATTAAAAGTTAATTATTAATTACTTTTATATTTATTATTGATTTATACGACAATTAATATCTATTAATCATTACTTGCGATGATTTGGCCAATAATTAAGTGATAATCAATTGAATTGATATAACTTTTGGTGACATTAACTAAACATTTATGTTTAGACCCAATGAGTGAGCATTACATCAGATGTTTGTCAACAAAAACACACGTTTTGATGAAGTGATGGTTGAATACGAGTCCACTTATTAGACGATAACTCAAGAGCTGGTCCACACACAAGTGATGTCCAAATCAAAGTACGAATACGTCCGCCAATACGAAGAGTCTTCAGACTCTGTACTCCTGAGGGACTGTTTTATTGTCGTCCGAATCGATGGCCAAAAGTTTCATAAGTTTTCCACACACAAGTGATGTCCAAATCAAAGTACGAATACGTCCGCCAATACGAAGAGTCTTCAGACTCTGTACTCCTGAGGGACTGTTTTATTGTCGTCCGAATCGATGGCCAAAAGTTTCATAAGTTCTCCAAAAGACATAACTTCTTGAAACCAAATGATAAACGGTTTGTGAAGACATCCAAACAAGTGTTGTCACCATTTGTTTTGTCACTCATGTCTTTGACGACTAGTATTTGATTCATTCATTTCTTCAATAGATGTCTGGATCTAATGAACGAATCGGCGAAACACGTGATGAAAGCCTTCTTTCCCAATATAGTGATCGCTTACGGTATTTAAGAGTTTGATTATAAGTCTGTATTTGTGGCCACACTTTATGCTGTAATCAATTCATTTCATTTGATCCGCAATTGAAGGCCAAAGCGATGAATTCAGTTTCATTATCCGTCGGGTCTCTGATGTGTACAAAAGGCGACAAAACAAGATCACATCACTTATCGTCTCGTCCTTTACCTCTGCGTTCGTCTTCTATTGGTCGCAGTATTTCGTCAACAACTCTACGGTTGCCAACGATTGTCACCAATCGGTTCCACTTCAATACCCGCCCGCGTTCGACGGCCGGTGTGTTCTGTATCCCAACGCGAAAGTAGTGATGGATTACCTGCGATGGCGTCAAGTGGACTGTCATATCAATAATCTCTATAACACGACATTTCACGCCCTCACCGGTC